ATATATTACAATCGACTTAGTCGAGTCGATAATGATAATTTAGGCCGACAATACTACACGTAAATTTGTTTTTGTAGCACGCCACAAATATAGACAAGCAAGCGTGACAGATGGAAAAATTGCGTTGATGATCTTTATATTAAAAATACATCAAAAGCGTAATTTTATCAAAGTGTATATGTATTCCGCTTCGTCCCGGACAGCAACGTGTTAACGTTTAGATTACGGAAATGCAGCATTATAATATATTCATCAATAGCGATGATACCCATTGTATAACCATTTTTTGTGGTTTCACGTGAGGTTCCAAGACTATTTAATAACGCGAAAATCAAGAATCACAACTCGGTTTTTTTTTTACTATGTCGGAACTTCTTAGTGTTGGAGTTATTAAAGAAATGTTTGAGGCCATCAGCGAGGACGGGCCAAGACCAGATAATCCAGTGCTTCAGGTGGTAAGATTTTCCGCAAACCAAAATAATCCGAATGAATCACTTCAATCGAGAGTTAGGTACGTTTGTTTTACTTGAATCAAGTATTATCTGGTTATTTAATTGGGTTACGACGCGTCTTTATTCTTGATATGATGCCAATTTTGCTACACATTCTGTATATTTACTAATTTAATATGACTATATTTCTGTTTCACATATAGAGTAGCCTTTTCTGACGGACAAGAACTTGTGTCAGGTCTTCAATCAAGCAGTAGTTTATTTTTTTTTTTTCTTGTATTAATGAGCTAAACACTCACGATTTGTGGTAACACAGGCATTATACCAGTTAATCTTTTAAAAAGCGTGAGTGGTGGCAGGTTGGAAAGAGGCCAGCTCCTTAGGTTGACACACTACAGTTGTAATATTAGTCAAAGCACTAAAGGGCAACAACCCCAAAAGTAATATTTTCGTTTATTTTCTAAAGTTGTCAGACTATCTTTTACTTAATCTTTGATTCTTATGTTAGAGTAATAGTTGTTAGTAACTACGAGGTAGCAAGTAGTGAATTACAACCAATTATCGGTAATCCATTTCCTGGCCAAGACACAGTCACCGAACGTTCTAGACCTTTGGCAAACCCAAATCCTCAATCTTTAACACCGCCACATCATCAACCTTTGGCACCACCAAATCCTCAAATTTCTCAACACCCCTCCCCAACGTTTCCGAGATCTGTATCTGGCGTCCAGCAACAAATGGGACCACCTACACCTACCTTTAACGGATCTACTTTTAATGGAGGCAATGTTATGAGATCAAGGTGAGTTTTACAATAAATAATATAATATATTAACTTGAGAAAGTCACTTACATGAACTTCACTTTAGTTCCAACAATATGCGACGATCTTCAACAGGCCTTGCTGATGAAGGGATCTTCCCTATCAATTTACTTAGCCCGTATCACAACAAGTGCGTCGAGTTCACATATTTAATGAATTTTTGTAAATTTAGAATCTCACATTATTATTTGTAGGTGGAAGATCAAGGTGGTCGTTGGTGCAAAATCAGACATAAAACATTGGCAAAATCAAAATGGTTCGGGAAAGTTATTCAATGCAACCTTATTGGATGATAGTGTAAGTTATAAGTGGAATGGTTTAACAGCCAAAATTGATTTTTATGACGCAATATATTTGTTTGTTATTTAGGGAGAGATAAGAGTAACAGCTTTTGGGCAACAAGTAGACGCCTTTTACGATAAATTGGAGGAAGGAAAAGTATGATATGACTCAAATTATCTCATGAAAAAATAAAAATAAACTAATAATATCCTATGCTTCAAATTACCTATTCACTAGACT